TTTCATTGCTGGAATGCCTCCCCACTTCACTCATTATGTTGGATCCAAAGTCAGTTGCAGCATGGGTGAGGCACATGGCTTAAAGGAGGAGATAAGGCTCAAAGCTGGCAGCTGCAAATCCTGCTGAGCAAGGTTGAGTGTTGGGCGGGCTGAGCACTCCACAAATGTCCAATTGGGCTGAAATTTGGATATGTTGTAGTAGACACCCATTGGAACAAGTTTCATGAAGATCTTCACCTCATTCGAGCCCCATAGCATGCTGATCCAAGGCCAAGAAGTTGACCTACGAAATTGGGCTGGAAAGGGGTTGTAGCCAAAATGTGTTTGTCTTTAAGCTCATATTCCTCATATGCCAATCAGCCCTTAACATGCATGGATTGCATCAAATGTTATCTCTTGCTATCTTAACCTACAAAACACACAAACATAGGTAAGTGACTCAAAATAAAGAGAAACTAAGCAAAATCACTAAGTAAAGAAGGCATGCAAGTGTATGAAATTATGGACTTATCAAAATAGAAAATGAATTAAAAGCACAAGTTTAACTCAAAAACATAACCAAATCATAAGCTAGAAGGGTACAAAATGATATACAATTATGAACCGATCAATTGTCCAACAGAAGGGGAAGAGGGCGTAGAGGTAGGCAAAGAGGTGGTCGAATCAATAGGAGTGCTGCTGTACAAAGAGGGGAATCAGAATTTTGGAGCAAGACAAATAACAACCTTTGTGAAGTGGTTGTCAGTCCTTCTAAAGAGTTGGAAGAGATGGAAAGAAAGCGTAAGGCTAAGGGTGTGGAGGATATTGTCCCCCTCCAGGGTTGTGGTGGCTGGCCCAAATCAGCCACAAGGGAATCATGATACAACTTGCTTGGAACTGTCAAGGGTTGGGGAACCCCTTGACAGTTCTGTATTTGAAGGAACTGTTACGTTCCAAAAATCCCACGGTGGTGTTTTTGATGGAAACTAAGCAAAACCATCACCGGAATGTTTAGCTTCGTAGATAGTGTGGTTACCATAACGGAGTGACTGTGGATCCAATTGGTCTTGCTGGAGGTTTGAGTGTTTGGTGGAAGACAGGTGTGGATGTTCAAATTAATGACACTTACCGTTCTTGGATTGATGCTACGGTGAAAATAGAAAATGAGAAAATTCATTGCAGGTGCATGTGGTTTTATGGAACGCCTTGCAGTGAAGAGAAATACCAATTTTGGGATGCTATGCTTCAATGGGACCAAGTGGAGAATATTCCATGGAGTATTGTGGGGGATTTCAATGAAATTTGTTGGCAATGAGAGAAAGAAGGTGGATCGGGTTGGAATCCGAGACGAAAACGTTACCTTGTGGATTTTGTGAACAAGTTGAATTTAGTAGATTTGGGGTTTATTGGTCAGCCCTTTACTTGGGAGAGACATATTGGTGGGGAGATTTCAGTTCGTGAAAGATTGGACAGAGGGCTTTGCAATATTTGTTGGGTAGAGGCTTGGCCTGGTTCGAATGTTTCCCATTGCCCAAGGATAGCCTTTGACCATTGCCCTATTTTGTTTGATAACAATCCCACTATGCCTAAAGGAAGAAAGCTTTTCCGTTTCGAATCTCAATGGGCTGAAGATGCTGATTGCCAGAGGGTAGTTGACGAAGGGTGGAAGGCTATGATGGGAACTTCTGGTACCAGACAATGGCTAATTAATCTTAAGGAGTGCAGGAACTTTAGTTAAATGGAGTCGAAATCGACACCCCAATAACAAAGTGAAAATTGCAGAGGTGTTAAAGGAGCTTAATTTGAGGCAAGCTAATCAGGATATTGGGACCTTCTTGAATGAGCAAAACCGACTGATGTCGGAGTTGGAGCAATTATGGAAGAATGAAGAGCTTTACTGGAAACAAAGATCAAGGGTGAGTTGGCTCAAAGCTAGAGATGTTAATACTCGTTTTTTCCATTTAACTACTATCCAGAGAAGGCAAAGGAACCGTATTTGGAAGATTAAGAATGAGGCTGGAGTATGGATAGCAGGTGACAAAATGATACAAAATGAGTTTCAAAATTATTTTGTGAACTTGTTAAGTCCAGTGGCCCTCAAAATTGGAATGGTATCATGGACCATATCCCTCAGTTGGTTAATAACGATATGAATGGTGAGCTTATGCGTCCCTTTAGCCTGGAGAAAGTGAAAGATGCAATTTTCCAACTTGGGTCCCTTAAGGCACCTGGCCCAGATGGCTTTCCTGCTATGTTCTACCAGAAGTATTGGCTTTCTGAGCAAGATATTATTTCTAGATTAGCTGAGGAGTTTTATACAGGGCAATCCCATATTCGTGACATGAACAAAACTTTCATTGCGTTGATTCCTAAGGTGCTTGCTCCTGAGTCCACCTCACAGTTTAGACCAATCAGTCTATGCAACACTTCGTACAAGATTTTGTCCAAGCTATTTGCCAACCGGTTAAAGTTTCTCATGCCTCATCTTGTTTCTGATTCCCAAAATGCCTTCTGACCGTCAGATTCATGATAATGTGATTGTAGCTCATGAAGCCTTTCATTATCTTAAGCTCAAGAGAGCGGGTCACAAGTATGAAGTGGGAATTAAAATTGACATGAACAAGGCTTATGATAGGGTGGAGTGGGATTTTCTTGAAGCTTTGTTACAAAAGCTTGGTTTCCAGACAGGATGGATCAGATTGGTTATGTTGTGTATTAGAATCGTCTCTTTCTCTGTCTTAGTGAATGGCCAACCTGGTTCATCCTTCTTGCCATCAAGAAGGTTAAGACAAGGTGATCCCCTGTCGCCCTACCTTTTCCTTTTGGTGTGCGAAGCGCTTTCATGTAATCTGACCAAGTTGGTGCAAGATGGTGTCATTAAAGGTATCCGAGTATCTAGGCAAGCTCCAATTATGTCTCATCTCTTCTTTGCAGATGATTCACTATTTTTTGTTAAAGCTGAGGAAGAAAACTGCTCTAGATTAAAGGGTCTACTGCTAAAATATGAATATGGGTTTTGAATGTATTAGGTTAACTTTATTCTTCTCCATAAGGAGGTATATATATGAGTTTACAGAGTACTTTACAAGGAATAAGATACAGTAAAGAATTAGGAAAGTATCTCCTAATTATACAAAGATTCATCAACTAAAAAGAATGGGAAAGTAAATCCCTTAATTAATCAAGGAAATAAATCTCCTTGATTAATTAGGAGACTCACGTCAACACTCTTTCTCAAGTTGGTGCATATACGTCACAAATGCCCAACTTGGTAAGTGAGTCATGAAATACTCTGCCATAAACAGCTTTGGTTAAGATATTTGTCAGTTGATCTTCTGATTTTATGAATGGTAGGCGGATGATCTTCTTCTCAATTTTTTCTTTGATAAAATGTCTATCCACCTCAACATGTTTGGTTCGATCATGTTGAACTGGATTATGGGCAATATCAATGGCTGACTTGTTATCACAATGTAACTATATTGGCTTTTCTGGCTTGAAACCCAATTCCGTCAAGAGTCTTCTGATTCACAATAATTCACAACCTCTTTGAGTCATTCCTCTATACTCTGCTTCTGCACTAGACCGAGAAACCAAATTTTATTTTTTACTCCGCCAAGTGACTAGGTTACCTCCCACGAATGTAAAGTAACCAGAAGTAGAGCATCTATCTGTAATGGACCCAGCCCAATCAGAATATGTATATCTGAAAACTTCAAGATCTTCATGTTTTGAGAACATTAAAACCTTTCCAAGGGTTGACTTTAAGTATCTTATGATTCGATCAATAGCATTCATATGAGAAACACTGGGTGAATGCATAAACTGACTAACCACACTCACAGCATATGCACTATCTGGTCTTGTGTGTGCCAGGTATATCAACCTTCCAACAAGGCGTTTGATACTGTTCCTTATTGGCTGGTTCTTGGTCCATGTCTTCACACAACTTGTGATTCATCTCAATGGGTGTGTCAGCCGGCACACTAAATGACTTCCTCCGCAGGTGATTGGTGTGGTACTGGAGCTGAAGCGGGCAAAATCTCATAAGACGGTTCAATTTCCTCCTCCTGATTTTGATAGCGTGGAGAAAACTGATTGTTTTCCTCTGGTGACCGGTCTCTGGATTTTGGCGACCGGTTGGTTTGAAACAGCTTCTCTGACTACCAGTCGCTTTCCACTGGCGACTGGTAGTTTTGAAGTAGATCCTCCATGTTCGAAGAACTAAGGGGGGGGTCGGTCGCTTTCCACTGGCGACCGACCGTTTGATTTAGGAATTTGATTTGAGGAATTTGATGTAGGAATTGGATTTGAGAGGTTTGTGTATAAGATTTGAGGAATTTGATGTAGGAATTGGATTTGAGAGATATATGTATAAGATTTGAGGGTATGAGAATTTGATTTGAGGGATTTGATGTATGAATTTGATGTAGGAATTGGATTTGAGAGGTCTGTGTATAAGATTTGAGGAATTTGATTTGAATATGAGAAATTTGAGATAAGGCATTTGAGGACTTTAGATTTGAGGGATTTGGATTTGGGGAAAAATATGAGGAATTTGATTTTGGGTTTTGGATTTGAATATGAGAAATTTGAGATAAGGCATTTGAGGACTTTAGATTTGAGAGATTTGGATTTGGGAGAAATATGAGAAATTTGATATGAGGAGTTTGAAGAACACAAAAACCCTGTGAACACGGCTAAGAACACAGAAACCCTGTGAACACGGCTAAGGACACAGAAACTTCTCTTCAATCCTCTTCTCCCCCTGAAGAGAAGGGTATGTCGGAGTCAAGAAAGAGGCAAAATCTCTATGAGAAAGAGAAACATATCATTTTTCACTCCCCCTCCCCCTCTTGAAGAGGAGGGGAGGAGAAACTTTGATATGAGAATTTAGAGACAACCGAGGATCGATTGCTCTGATACCATACTAAAATATGAATATGGGTTTTGAATGTATTAGGTTAACTTTATTCTTCTCCATAAGGAGGTATATATATGAGTTTACAGAGTACTTTACAAGGAATAAGATACAGTAAAGAATTAGGAAAGTATCTCCTAATTATACAAAGATTCGTCAACTAAAAAGAATGGGAAAGTAAATCTCTTAATTAATCAAGGAAATAAATCTCCTTGATTAATTAGGAGACTCACGTCAACATCTACTAGATGATTACTATCTCGCATCTGGTCAGTTAATTAATTATGAGAAATCTAGTCTAATGTTCAGTGCTAACACTCCTGAGGATGTCAAGGCGAATATAAGCTCGATTATGGGTATTAGAGGGATTGATAACTCTGGTATTTATTTGGGCATTCCAATGACTTGGGGACAGTCCAAGAAAGTTGCTTTAGCCCGATATCTGCGAGCGTGCGGCGAAGAAGATAATGGGGTGGAAACAAGGCACATTATCAATGGCGGGAAAGGAAGTTTTGATCAAGGCCATTGCCATTGCTGTCCCAACTTATCCTATGATGTGTTTTAAATTCCCCAAGGTGGTGTGCAATGAGATCAGTAGCGATATTGTGAAATTCTGGTGGGGAAAATCAGAAGGCGGCAACGGCATACACTGGAAATCTTGGAAGGCTTTGTGTTTGGCGAAAGGAGATGGGGGTCTTGGCTTTAGAGACCTTGCGGAATTTAATCTGGCTCTACTTTCCAAACAGAGTTGGAGAATCATCTCTACTCCTAATGCCTTATGGGTTCGAATTCTAAAAGCGAGGTACTATCCTGATTGCGAGTTTAAGGATGCTGGTTTGGGTCACTGACCATCTTGGATCTGGACGAGTATTCTAGAGGGAAGAGATGCTTTAATGGGCAAGGCCAGAGTTCAGATCATGAATGGTGCAGATAGAAATATTTGGGGTGACAATTAGATTCCTGATAATGGCATTATTACACCAATCACTCACGTCCCTCCTAATGCTCCACAAATGGTTTCAGATATTATCAATCTGCAGAATCGAACTTGGAGTTTGGATAGGGTGGGTAGTTATCTGAGTTGGGAAACTCAAGAGCAGATTCTTGCCATCCCCATCGGTCCATCGGGTCAGCGGGATAAGCTTGTTTGGCCCTGGACATCGAACGGTCTATATTTAGTAAAATCTGGATATCACTGTTTGCAGTCGGCTCACCGTTACTTAGCACCTGGGAGTTCGCATTCTTCTCATTTCATCTCAAATCGAATATGGAAAGCTGTTTGGAGTGTTCGCACCCTGCCTAAGATACGCATGTTCTTATGGAGATGTATGTCCAACGCTATTCCAACGCGGCTTAATTTATTCAAGAGGAAAATTACTGCCTCTCCTATGTGCGACCTCTGCGATCAATACGAAGAATCCATTGAACACACTCTATTTCTCTGCCCCTGGGCTCAAGCTGTGTGGTTCGGATCTCCAATGACGTTAAGAATTGATACTCAAAGCTTTAGCACTCTGGATGTTTGGCTGAATAATATTCTGGACTTGAGAACTGAATCAAAAATGGAAAAGCATGATCTGCTCGCTATGTTAAGCTTCTTTCTTTGGGAAATATGGAAGACCAGATGTAAAGCTATTATGGAAGGTCGTAGGATTGATCCATGCAAAGTGGTTGAAACAGCAGGTAAGGCAAAGGTGGAATTTCAGAAAGTGTGGCAAAGTAATGCAAATAGTGTGACGAGCCGTTCCCCTTCAATTGGCGAGGTGTGCTCGTGGGAGCCGCCGCCAATGGGTTTTGTTAAAGTTAATATTGATGGGAGTTGGCAAAGCAATGGTAGAAAAGCTGGGGTTGGAGTGGTAATTCGAAATTCAGTTGGGGAGTTTCTAGGAGGCTTGGCTGCATCACGAGTGGGTCACTCTGCTCTTGAGGTAGAGGCTGAAGCAGCTGTCATGGGGCTGAAGCTTGCGGCCAATCTTGGCTATAGTGATGTCTAAGTGGAATCTGACTCAAAGACCCTTGTGCATATCAATATGTTTGGTAGTTCCGTGCATATCAATATGTTTTATTTTTCAGTTTGTTTCTCAGGAAAAAAGAACAATTGATCAATTCAGCCGCTATAGCAGAACTTGTTTTTTTGTTGGTCAAAATAGATAACCAGTCAGACAAATTATTCTTTGTCATTGTTGGCAGCAAACAAATACAACTGAATATTTATGAATAAAATCCAAAATTCCACAGGCTACATTGTTCCATGGAGGCATATTATCTCTGCCAGAATAGGATGTAGCTTTAAAGAACTAGAACTTTGAAAGCTAAAGAGTGCAAAAGTCTGAGAGAATGTGATTATTCATTGACTCCAAAGACTGGCATAAATAGCCGTACAAGGAACAAGTAATCAGAAAAATAAGCAACAAAATATCCCACGTCTAACAACCCTAGACTATTGGGATTCTCCTAAAGATTAGGTCAAACACTAACCAAGTTTCCTGACAAATAGGGATTATTAGCAGAAGCAAATTAACTAAATAAAACAAATAACAATAATGTATAAATATCCAACAGTAGCAGATTATACCCAACCAAATATCAAGGCTGATAAACCTCAGGAAGTTGAAGACCAACACTTGCAGCAGATTTTCCAAGTACTTTTTTCATCTCATCTGATCTATCCACAGCAATGTTGTAAGAGAACAATAGGTCCTGCACATCCATTATACAAAGTAAGATGCTTGATGGAGATTTTATTTTTAAAACAAAAAAATTTCTGATGGTAAACAGTTCATTTAAAGAGTGGAACTGTCAATTAGTGTACAAATAACTAGGGGGGGGCCCGGTCCGGATTGGATCGGTTTCACGTCAAAACCACGGCCGAACCAATTAAAGTATAACGGTTTGGTTTGGTTCGGTTTGGATAAAAGTTATAAGGGAAACCGAACCAATCCAAACCAATTTAAGACGGTTTGGTTCGGTTTGGTTCGGCCGGTTTGGGCCTAAGCCCAATTCTCTTTCTTTTTGCATTTTTTCAACATTATTAGCCCAATTATAACCAACAAATTCACAACTTACTTCTTACATAAATCATCTTCTAGAGTACGAAACCGTTCTAAAGCTCAAAAGGTCATAAAACTTCATATTTCACTAACTAATATAGCTCAATTCAAATATTCATATATAGTTATTAACTAATTAGAGTATTACACATATAAAATAAAATAAAATAAATAAATATACACATAAACGGTCCGGTTTGGTTTAAGCCGGTTTACAAAAGCTCAAAACCAAACCAAACCAAACCATATACGGTCCGGTTTGGTTTGGTTTTGACTAAAAAAAAGTCAAACGGTTTGAAAACCAAACCGGTAATTACGGTTTGGTTCGGCCGGTTTCATCGGTTCGGCCGGATTGATGCCCACCCCCAGTAAACAGAGCAAGCAAGACATTGAACTGGAAATGACACCTAAGAAAGAAAACCAACATAATGGAACATGACAAGGACTTTACAATTTGCAAAAATAAAAAAACTTTGATCAGTCAGAGCAATGAATTACATCAGTACCTGGTGATGGTGCACACTGTTAAGAAGAAAAGTGTAGTTATGGGCAAGCTTAATCTTCTGCTGAATGGAAGATGGATCTGACAGTTTGCAGTTGTTCCTGAATTCTTCAGTTACGTATTCTTTGAAATGCCTCGCCCTGTCTTCTTTGGCAACGTGTTTCTTTACAGCTCTGAGAAGGTGGCGGTACACCTTAGCAACTTGCAAAGCTTCAGCACTCATTTTCAGCCTTTATCTCAGAGCTTATTCTAAATTTTTTCTATTTCTCCACCCTGCCTCAGGAATTGAATGTTTGATGCATGATCAGAAGCAAATCTCGCAAACTCATGACAAAAACATATATTGAAGAAACTTATTCATAAGGGAAAGACAGTAAAAATTGAACAAAGCTAATAAAAAAGTATAAATTCAACAAGAAAATTTCTTATAGATCTACATAAGGTACAAAAAAGAACAAAATACAAAACTAGTAGAAACATTGAGCTGTTGTCAATACCAGTGTTTTCAAAGGCATGCCTTCGCGAGCGTCGGCGACCGCGTCGGAGCGAGCAGGCATGAAATCGCCCGAGGCTGTCGGCTGTTTCGCGAGTTGCACGTTTAGCGCGGGGAAGGCGTGAGGAGGCGTGGTCAGGCGGAGCGAAGAGGAGCAAGGCGCGCCAGATCTGGACGCTTCTGAACCGGAAGAAATTTTGCGAGTCTGCAAATTGGCTGCGACTCTGCGAGGAAGACGACTCGCGTGTTTTTTTTTTTTTTTTGGGTTTATTGTAATGAAACGACGTCGTTTCAATTGCAGTGTTTTAGAAAAATTTAAATGAAACGACATCGTTTCACCTGGTACAACCTTTTGTTTTGTTATATTTTCTTCTTACACTCTAATCTCTTCATGTAATGCTAATTTGTGTTTAATGCACAAACAATCTTCCTTGGTTCAGAAGAGTTGGCATGAAGAAAATAAAAATATTAACAGTATCTAGTTTGCAGATGGTTACAAAAATGAAAGTTCTTAGTATTATTTACAAAAAGTTATTTAATTCTCATTCTGTCTATTGTGAAAAACAAAACAAAAATCTTTTCTTTCACATAACTGAGTGCTGTTCAATGTTTTGCAGTAATGATCGGTAAGGGACTTATTTCGCTAATATTTTCTATGCTGCTTAAGCAACTAGAATAAATGCAGTAGTGCTGCTGATCAAAGATAGAGTCAAGTTTAATAGTTTTTGAATGTCGCAGGTGCCTTTACTAAAAGAATATAGTTCAAGTGAAATGAAGAGATGGTTCTTTATCCATGCCATTAAATTTGAGGTTGAGTGGGATTCAAGCAAGAATGGAAACTGATGACAAATGGCATGAGAAAGTGGGGCTTGTTTTCCAGAAAGGCTTCTCGTATGGCTTTAATGTGAGGAGAAATTGATTCATGAGGTTAGCAATAATCTGCACAATGTAAGAATCAAATTGAGTTTTCTTTCAGATAAGTTCCATATTTGAAAATGCTAGAGGGACGACTCAGACGAGTAAAGGTGGTGAGGTATCAGCCTACAGTTTAGTACAAAAGAAAGTTTTCCCTGAGAACAGATCGTAATGAATAAGAAGTGCTGTATGTCATATTGTATTCTTCTTAGCCTTTCGGATATGAGATTTAGTTTTATGCATTGTTCTTGACAATTGGGATAGTCTTAAGGTTGGTGGAACAAGGGACATGTAGTCCTGGGTTTAAAGCATGTGTCAAGTAGACTCCCAGCGTCAAAGAGTGATTCTCCTAACTGCCGGACTTCCAACCCCATTCCCCTTCAGAAAGAAGGACAAACCATTGAGAGGCAGAAAGATACATTATTCATCTTATATGCATGTCAGAAATGGCTTAGACAGCACTGGTTTCATTGGTTCAGATGCTTTGCATTAGTGCTGAGCTCCAGAAAAGTGTGACCTCCTCGTTTTCACGACGCTCCCTGCATTTCCTGGTTCGATTGTACTTTTATTGTAAAGTTACATGTCAATTATCAAAGGAAGAGAGCTTACCGATTAAGCAGAAATGGTTGTATGTTCACTTTCTATGTAGCATTTTGTAAATCGATAGAAACTTCATCTTTTCCTAACCTTGATGTACAACACACAGAAAAAATAAATGTTGGAAAGAAAACTATAGCAACTTTGTTCAACTCTAATTTGTATTCCTTGCTAACTCGCTTGTTGAAAGCTTTAATTTTGTATTCTCACATCAACAGGTAAAAAGTAGGGTTGCTTTTAAAAGAGATGGGGGTGTCAATCTGAAATTTTCTTTTACAATTCAAAAGTAAGAAATGGGATGTCAATCGGATTCTAATCTTTAGGCCTTATAGTTGACTCTTGCATGGAAAAGCAAAAGCTCGTTCACCTTTTAGAACGACAAAGCAAAAGCTCATTTACCTTTTAGAACGACAAAGCAAAACCTCAGTTTATTAGTAGCTTTTGAGTTGATCCATCATCATCCTTTGGCGTACATTTCTGTCGATATGAAAGTATTGAATTGCAACAAATAACTGCGGTTAGTTTTTCATGCCACTATATATGCACCAATCTCCAACCATATATTCGAAATATAAAGCCACTTTTGGTGACTGGTAATTTTTGGTCAGAATGGATCTTGACATCACCTTGTCACTTAAGTTATTGTAAAATATATAGGTAATGATTTTTTAGGTGAAAAAGGTCAATCATTGTCAATTCATACAACCCATTATCTCCTTTCTCTCTATCTATAAAGGGTCTTCTGTTGCAAGGGGTTTGTAACTCAAATGGTTAAGAGCATTTACCCATACACCCGAGATCTTAGGTTCAATTCCCTATTCCCTAATATCGCTTGTATCGAAAAATAAATGTTCTGTTTTTTATACTTACAAGAAAAATTGGGGGATCATTTGGGTATTTACAATGCCAATAATTAGTACTGTAGGCAGACCAATCTTTATTCTTTTTCATTTTTTTAGGCTTTTTTTTAATAACCTGTATATATCCTGTTGCAGGTACTATATTGTCCCATTGAGAAATTAAGGGGACCTGCATGAATTATTACTTGGCTCTCGAAGTTTCAGAAGCCACATCTTAAAAGCTAGAACGCAGCCAGAAGAACCCTCTAGTATGAAACCACCATAAGATAAAAAGATTAAGTTATTCCTACTAGCTAAGCTCAAAATATCCACAAGTTTGCTCAGTTGGGGTAGGAGAAGTGGCATCCAACGTTTTCCTCCTGGGATTGACGTGTGATTCTGATCCAGTACCAAAGCATTCACATGGGTTTTTTCTTCTGGTGACTATAGAAACAAATAAAGCTGCTGGTGTTCCACAATTCAACCACATTTTCTGAGCAATGTGCTAGCAGGCACCATGAAAGGATTCAGTGCATGCATGATGCATGACATTGCATATGACTGGGAAATTAATATATATGCAGAAGTGATCTTAATTAGCACAAAATTTTCTAACTAGATTCGACTACATTCATGCACATTACTCTAAATTAAGCAGTATTTGAGTATGAGAGTAGGGTTTGTGTTCTAACAAAGTAGAATGATAGAGACAGTCGCACATCTCCGATGTCGTAGGCAATTATCAATCGTTCATGATTGTGGTGCTAGGTGGGTGTTAAGGGCAGTAGCTAATGCATGTAGGATGAATTCTAGTCATTAATGCATTGCATACAATGGATGTTAGAGACAATCTCACATTCGTGCTAAGAATGCGACTAATCGTTAATGCATGTGAATCTCACAAATAAGAGATTCAATAGGCTATAGACTACAGAAAAAGTAATGAAAATTAATAAAGGATCAGATCATATCATATGTATCCCATCAGTGGTTGCTCACGTGTTACATCCATCTCCTTTCCAAAAGAAAGGTCGATGATGATCTGAATTTGTAATTGCATGATCAGAATTAATAAATTAGGAATTAAGAAAGCGTGTGAGAATATTGGGGAAACCCCACACATCTATAAACAGACGACACAACAAAGTCCAACTAAGCAGAGAAATATGGACGACAGTTTGCAAAGTCCCCCATACATCTAATCGAATCTAGCTGCTTTGCATGAAAAATAAATAAATAATAGGAGCACAGAATATTCTTGTCTCTGGGATGGGGGCCCAAATCACTCAGCTGGCTTTGATTAAGTTGTGCTAATTTTTCGGGAACATAATGATTAATGAAGATTATTGAAGCAAAGCATATCTAACCAAAAAAAAGAAGAATAAAAAATTAATAAAGCATATACGCGTAATTTTTTTTTTTGGGGGTTCTTAAGAGGAAGGCCATGCAACTTATTATTCTAGACATAAATCTAACTATTTTTTTTTCTTATACATTACAATTTATGCCACATACACGGTTTTGTGAATGAATGTTACATTTTTAACTTCGTCATAATAACAATTTCTAAGAGCATCTACAATCAAGGACCTAAGTGTTGTCGGGGGGTCTCCTCATGGACCATAGAAGATATTGGCAAAACATACACTTTGAAGAGAAGTATGATCCAATTTAAACCAAACTAACCTAAAATATTTTAAAATATTTTTAGTTAGGAGAATACGGAATGGAAAAAGTATAAATAAAAAGATATTGAAAAACACAAATAAAAAATTCGGTCACTATATAATTTGTAATAAATACCCTTCAAGCTGTAGATCTTATATATTTAAAACAAGAAAATACGTTGTTTGAATCAGAAGATAAGCGAATCGACTACTCTGTTAGACAATCAAATGCAGCTTTCAAACGACCATTAGTGAAACCAGGGAACTTGCTTTGCAATACAAACACAATTAGCAAAACCAATATGCGTGTACTTGTCCCGCACCACCCAAGTAAAGACTGGAGGGTTGAGGTGGGCACGTATAAATATAAAAGGATGTGCATCCGGAAACGTATTTACCTGGACAGGGTCTATGGGCGATCAAGAAGGCCCATGGCCTATGTTGGTGACCTCTATTGCACCTACGAGGGGTGCCTCCCTATGGTCTCCTCAAGCAAGAGACCCAATGTCATAATTTGTTGCCGTGGGGGCTTTTGCGTTTGCGCAGCCCGTCCAAATTTTAGTGCAATATTTAAAAAAACAGTAATTCTCGTGCCAAATCTTATAGCCAAATGTAATTTTTATTCTCAAGGGCAACGGTTGTTCCAATCCAATTGTAATTTGTGAAGTTTGTTGCTATAAAGACTTGTAAGACTTTGGCTCTGTTGTTGGGTTCTTCCTAGCCAATACTAATTGTCAAGTTTGTTGCTATAAATATATTTTAGGGAAATTGGCAGCTTTACACCTGGCTCACCTAATTTATTCACTAATATTATTATTTTGAAACCCAATCACAAATGCCCCTTATAAAAACTCTCCATTGACAGCCTATTGCCCATCCTTCACTTCGTTTTTTATTCTTCTGAGTCATTGCTCTTTGAAATACTCTCATCTCTCTAGTCTCTTCCTCTTCCTCTTCCTCCTTCTGCCCCTCTTTCACTTTTGTTTAGTCATTCTGAGCTCTCCCAAATTCTCTTTCACAATTTCTTAGTCTCACTCTCTTAGCCATTCTCTCTTTCACTCGGACCCACATCGGCGACGACGACCTCACCATTTCCACCTCCATCTCTCACTCTCTGTCACCTCTTTCGACCTCCATGAATGGTGTCTCAGGTAGCCAGCTCGGCTTTTCTCCTTCTCATTTGGGTTTTCTTCTCCTTGTTTCAATTTCATATATGGGTTTG